AGAAATAGACAAAGATTTTCCATGCAAATGGAAACCAAAAGAAATCTGCAGTAGCTATACTTAGATAAAACAGATCTTAAAACAAAGTCTGTAATAAATGACAAAGAAGGGCATTATATAATGATAAAAGGTTCAACAAGAGGATATAACAATTGTAAATATGTATTCACCCAACATAGGAGCACCTAAATATATAAAGCAAATATTAAGAGACCTAAAGGGAGAAATTGACAGGAATACAATAATAGCAGAGAACTTCAATATCCTACTTAAATCAATGAATTGATCATGCAAATAAAAAATCAATAAGGGGGCTTCCCTGGTGGCGCAGTGTTTAAGAGTCCGCCTGCCGATGCAGGGGACACGGGTTCGTGCCCCGGTCTGGGAAGATCCCACATGCCACAGAGCAGCTGGGTCCGTGAGCCATGGACGCTGAGCCTGCGCGTCCGGAGCCTATGCTCTGCAACGGGAGAGGCCACAACAGTGAGAGGCCCGAGTACCGCACAAAACAAACAAACAAAAATCAATAAGGAAATATCAGCCTTAAACAATACATTAGACCAGACAGGCCTGGTTATACACAGAAATAGATATATGCAGAACATTCCATCCAAAAGCAGCAGAATACAAATTCTTCTCAAATGCACATGGAACATTCTCCAGGGTAGATCATTCTCCAGGCCACAAGACAAGTCTCAATAAGTTCAAGAAGATTAAAAACACATCAAGCATCTTTTCTGACCACAATGATATAAAACTAGAAAAAAGAAGAAAACTGGAAAAAAATCACAAATATGTGGAGATTAAACAACAGGCTACCATAAAAACAATGGGTCAATGAAGAAATTGAGAATTTTTTTAAAAATACTTGAGACAAATGGAAATGGAAATACAACTTACCAAATTCTATGGGATGCAGCAAAAGCAGTTCAAAGAAGAAAGTTCATAGCAATACAGGCCTACCTCAAGAAACAAAAAAAAAATCTCAAATAAACAATCTAATTTTCCACCTAAAGGAACTAGAAATAAAAGAATAAACAAAGCACAAATTTAGTAGAAGGAAAAACAAAATTCAGAGCAGAAATAAATGAGATCGAGACTAAAAAGACAATAGAAATGATCTTTGAAAAGGTAAACAAAAGTGGCAAAACTCTAGCTAAACTCACCAAGAAAAAAGGGAGAGGGCTCAAATAAATAATATCAGAAAAGAAAGAGGGGAAATTACAACTGATATCACAGACATACAAAGGGTCACAAGAGACTACTATGAACAATTATACACCAACAAACTGGACAACCTAGAAAAAAAGGAATAAATTCCTAGAATATTCCAAAACTGAATGAGGAAGAAATAGTAAATCTGAATAGACCAATTTCTAGTAAGGAGGTTGAATCAGTAATTAAAAACCTCCCAAAAAACAAAAGTCCAGGACCAGATGCCTTCACTGGTGAATTCTACCAAGCACTTAAAGATTTAATACCTATCCTTCTCAAACTCTTCCAAGAAATTGAAGAGGAGGGAACACTTCCAAACTTATTTTATGAAGCTATCATTACCCTGACATAAAAACCAGACAAAAACACCACAAAAAAAGGGGGAAAAAAAGAAAATTAAAGGCCAATATCCCTGATGAACACAGATGCAGAAATCCTCAACAAAATATTAGCAAACCAAATTCAACAATACACTAAATGGATCACACACCATGATCAAGTGGGATTTATTTCAGGATGCAAGGATGGCTCAATATTAGCAAATCAAAGTGATACACCGTATTAACAAAATGAAGGATAAAAATTATATGACCATCTCAATAGATGCAGAAAAAAGCATTCAGCAATATTCAACATCCATTTATGATAAAACTCTCAATAAAGTAGGTATAAAGGGAATATAAATATAAAAATAGAATTATGACACAATACAACAATTCCCCTTCTGGGTATTTATCCAAAGAATACAAAAACACTAATTGGAAAAGACATAAGCACCCCTATAGTCACTGCATCATTACTTAAAGTAGAAAAGGTGTATTCACTCATTGCAGCTTTATTTACAATAGCCAAGATATGGAAACAACCTAAGAATCCTTCAAAGGATGAATGGATAAAGAAGATGTGGGCTACACACACACACACACACACACACACAGACAGACACACACACACACACACACACACACACACTGGAATACTACTCTGCCATAAAAAAAGAATGAAATCTTGTCATTGCAATAATGTGAATGGAACTTGAGGGCATTATACTAAGTGAAATAAGTCAAACAGAGAAAGACAAATACTGTATGATCTCACTTTTATGTGGAATATAAAATATAAAGCAAATGAACAAACAAAACAAAACAAACCCTGAAGATATGGAAAACAGTAGAGACTACCAGGTGGGAGGGTTGTTGGAGGTGGGAAAACTGGGTGAAGGAAGTTGGGAGGTACAGACTTCCAGTTGTGAAATGAATAAGTCATGGAGATGTGGTGTGTACCATGGTGACTACAGTCAATGGTATTGTACTGCATATTCAAAGGTTCCTGAGAGAGTAGATCTTGAAAATTCTCATCATAAAAAAAACTTTTTGTAACTTTATATGGTGACTGATAGTGACTAGATTTTTTATGGTGATCATTTCCCTGAAATGATCTAATGAAATGAAACTAATAGAATGTTGTAAGTAAATTAGACCTCAATTAAAAGAAAAAAGGGGAGTTTCCCTGGTGGCGCAGTGGTTAAGAATCCACCTGCCAATGCAGGGGACACGGGTTCGAGCCCTGGCCTGGGAAGATCCCACATGCCGCAGAGCAACTAAGCCCGTGCGCCACAACTACTGAGCCTGAGCTCTAGAGCCTGCGAGCCACAACTACTGAGCCCACGTGCCACAACTACTGAAGCCTGTGCGCCTAGAGCCCGTGCTCCACAACAAAAGAAGCCACGGCAATGAGAAGCCTGTGCACTGCAACGAAGAGTAGCCCCCACTCACCGCCAACTAGAGAAAGCCCGTGCACAGCAACGAAGACCCAACACAGCCAAAAACAAATAAATAAATAAATAAATTTATTTTTTAAAAAAAAGGAAAAAGGGGAGTTCCCTGGTGGTTCAGTGGTTAGGACTCAGTGCTTTCACTGCCGAGGGCCCAGGTTCAATCCCTGGTCAGGGAACTAAGATCCCACAAGCCGCACGGCGTGGCCAAAAAAAAAAAAGAATGGGCTTTGGAGTCAGATCAGAACACAGTGCTTATTTTACTACTTACTAGCTTCTTTGTGGTCTTGAAAGAAATCCCGTAGTTTTTTTCCGTACCTCAGTTTCTTCATTTGTAAAATAGAAATACTGATTCTTTCTCAGTAACATGCTGAGGACTAAATGAAACAGTATTCAAGAATCCCTTAGCATATGCCCTCACATATAGTGGGTGTTTGATAAAAAGTGGTTTTTATTGTAAAGGAAGAGTTCTGGTGAGTTAAATGTGCATGTGTGCTTGGTAACCGATATGACAGTTTTCGAGGTAGGTACAGTGGCAGAACTCTCTTCCTCTGAAAATAAGAAAAGGAAGCCTTGATGTAACCTAAGGAAGCAAAATATCTGAACCTAGAGCAAGGAGAGAACTGGTGGCTGGGAGGAAAGGAGCATCAGAGGTGTCTTAGCTAGAGTTCTTCTGAAAGCAGACCTTGAGACAAGGAATGGATGCATATTAGTTATCCCTAGAAATGATGAGGAAATGGAGAGGATGAAGCAGGGTTGAGGGAAAAGCCAAATAATGTGCCATGAGGGGATATAAGATCCTGCTATTGAAGATGGGACCTCTGAGAAGCATGCTGAGTGCCTCTCAGAACTGCCTGTCTAAAAGACAGGAAGCTGGAACTTTTTTCCATAGACTTCTGCCTCCCATCGGCTGTGAGCTGCCCTTGAGGGTGTTAACTCCCCCACGTTTCCATGCTAAGCTTGAGGAAGCATCCAGCATGCTTCTGCAGTTCTGGAGAAGGCTCTGAGGCAGAAACTGGGAAGACTCAAAAACTGTTCTGGAGGCCTGGGCTTGTGAGGAGCTGTCCACTGAAGCTGTAATTGAAATTAGAAGGGGCCTTAGGAGGATAGGAAACAGGGCTCCAAACTTTTCTGCTACAAATAGTCTTTCTGACAGACCATAAAAAGCATCAAGACAGTGAGAAATTGTTATGGACTAAATGTTTGCGTCCCCCCAAAATTCGTTATGTTGAAATACTAATCCCCGACGTGAGGATATTAGGAGGTAGAACTTTTGGGAGGTGATTGTATCCTGAGGGTGGCATCCTCACGAATGGGATTATTAGTACATTTATTAGGGACTGAAGAGACCAGAATTCTCCACCTTCTAAAATGCAAAGACACAGGAAGAAGATGGCCCCTTGCCAGCCTGCAAGCGGGTTGTCACCAAAACCTGGCAATGCTGGCGCTCTGATCTCAGACCCCCAGCCTCCAGAACTGTGAGAAATAAATGTCTGTTGTTTATAAACCACACAGTCTATGGAAGTTTGTCACAGCAGCCTGAACTACGACAGAAATGATACTAGCAAAAATAAATGCTGGCCCCAAAGATAAATCAGATATCTCATTTTCTGGAAGTTTTAGCTTCGTTTTTTTAATTTATTATTAATTTTTATTGGAATATAGTTGCTTTACAATGTTGTGTTAGTTTCTTGCTGTACAGCAAAGTGAAGCAGTTATACATATACATATATCCATGCTGTTTTAGATTTCCTTCCCATTTAGGTCACCACAGAGCACTGAGTAAAGTTCCCACCTGGCTATTTTCATGGCAACTACGTCACGGTGAACAAAGTTAAATGAAATAAAAGTGCATTGAGGGCTTGCCTGGTGGCGCAGTGGTTGAAAGTCCGCCTGCCGATGCAGGGGACACGGGTTCGTGCCCCGGTCCGGGAAGATCCCACATGCCGCAGAGCGGCTGGGCCCGTAAGCCATGGCCGCTGAGCCTGCGCGTCCGGAGCCTGTGCTCCGCGGCGGGAGAGGCCACAACAGTGAGAGGCCCGCGTACCGCAAAAAAAAAAAAAAAAAGTGCATTGAATCTTTCCCTTCCCAGAAGATGCTACCAGGATCAGAATTACAAGAGTTTCAAACTTGGTCATATATACATATTTACATACATATGTGTCACCCAGAAACAAAAACAGAGAATAATAAAATAAAGCCTAACCTTTCTTTTTTTTCTTTGTCCTTGGTCGTTTCACTTGCTCACAGGCGGCTGTGCAGAGGCCTTGCGCCCGGCGCTTCAGACCAGAGTTCCTAGAGCAAAATGGCCGCACTGGACGCCTCAGCTCAAGATCGTGTGCAGACGCGGAGCCCAACACTCAATTCAAGATGGCGGCAGAGGGCCGTGTGAAGAGACGCTGCGCCCGGCACCGCCATCTGGAGCGTGAGCGGCGCAGCTGCGCGCCCCGGGAGAACTCAACGCCCTCCCCTCCCGCTGACGAGAAGCCTGTAAAGCAGCCCCACCCACGACCTGATAGGGAAAGCCTGAGGCTCTAGAGTGGGAGCTCACGCCTCTCCATTCTCTGATCCAAGAATAAAGCTTTCCTTTGCTTCTGAACCAAACTTAGTCTCATTCTATTGGCTTGTTTGACACCAGGCAGAAGGATCTAGATGGGCACCAACTTGGGAAGGTCAGTAACATAAGTACGTGTATATGCAGTCACAATCCTACCACAAAAGAAAAGATGTGGCTTCGCAAATATATGTCCCCACTGCATCGTTCAGTTCTCTGTAGAGCTGATCACTGTAGGTAAGCCAGACGCCTCAGCCACCTTCTCTGAAGTCTCCATGGTATTAGTCAGACAGAAATGACTATATGCTCGAAATGACAAGTCACAGCTTGCCCTAGGAAAATGACAGGGAATATTAAACTCAGCATTGATGAGTTTAAAAGTCCTGTGGTTTCTATTTAAAGGGGCAAGTTTGTTGCCCTATTCTGATAGTGAAAGGTAAAATGATTTATAAATGACATTTTATATTTTATAAATAATTAAATTGTCTATTCAATGCATGGTTGCAATGTCTGTCTAATCAGAGTGCCATCTTGGGTTGCCAAATAAAATGCAGAGAGTGGTGGGACCTATTTATGCTGAAAAATGATTCACTGTTCATCAGAAATTCAAATTTAACTAGGAATTCTTTAATTTTATTTGCTAAACCTGGTAACTCTATTGCCACCTTCAAACAAGTACAAAGAAAGAGCTGCACCTTTAAACAAGACAGTAAATGTTCTGGAATGTTATGCTAAAGGTTCTAGGACTTTTCAGTGGCAGCATTTTCTTTTCCGCTTTTTTTTTTTTAACATCTTTATTGGAGTATAATTGCTTTACAATGGTGTGTTAGTTTCTGCTTTATAACAAACTGAATCAGCTATACATATACACATATCCCCATATTTCCTCCCTCTTGCATCTCCCTCCCACCCTCCCTATCCCACCCCTCTAGGCGGTCACAAAGTACTGAGCTGATCTCCCTGTGCTATGCGGCTGCTTCCCACTAGCTATCTATTTTACATTTGGTAGTATATATAAATCCATGACACTCTCTGGCTTCGTCCCAGTTTACCCTTCCCCCTCCCAGTGTCCTCAAGTACATTCTCTACATCAGTGGCAGCATTTTGATAAATTGACATGTGTATTAACTCAAACAATTTACATATTGTTTCCTTGGGTACATTTCCAAAAACTTTTCAAAGCATTTCAATAATTTATTTTGTCAGAACATGGCAATTTGTATATTGAAAAAAACACCATGTTGGTGTTAGGAAAACTCATTTCAAATAGTTCCAAATGAGCTCTCAAAGACTCCTATTTACTTGTTAAGAGTCAAATATGCATACTCTAAAATGTTTTCTTTGGATTCACCTAAATATTCTCTCATAAATAAAATTTAAATCAACTTGTAATTCAGCAGTTCTGCGGAATTCTTTGATGAAGAGAAACACCCAAGAACCACATGCAGAGTCACTTCATTTTAGTTGCAAGATTCTTGTTCCAGCTCACCTTCCAAAACAATTTCAGTCAAGTAGAAATGTTCTGACAATCCCCGCTTAGAATGGCAAATAATCCCTGCCTTTTCATTCATTCACTCATTACCTCTCTAAAAAGAAAATGTGCAGTTACCAGAATTTTATACAATTAGTGCTCCAAGAGTGTTTTAAATGCAAACCTATAAGAGGAAAGTTAAAAACAAATCAAAGTTAATTGTGACTGGCTGGAACAAAATACTTACATCAATATAAGGATGGCTCATCTGCTCATCATTTACCCATTACCTGGGAGATGAACACCTCCTGCTGTGCCTGATTTTTGATACAAATTTACCATTGCCTGCCTTCTCCAGACACATGCTACGGAAACCCAGCCCTTTTCTGACTCCCTCTCTCATTATCCTTTTTGTACTTAATAACCTATGCACTTATTCACTTTTTTTTTTTTCTTGCTGTGTGTTCTTCTTTGCAAGGGGAGCCATGCGCACAGGAAAACTAGAGAGTTGAAAAACTTTACAAAAAAGCTCAGGGTCTTCCTTGCAAAGCAGACAGGAGACCCCACATTTGCCTCTGAATTACTGACTTCTTTCAACCTGTCTCCACATTGACTATTGTGATTTTCATAAACTCCAAAAAGTATAATGTGACTCCTTTTGTAAGGCATCTTTTGGGGAAAAAAAAAAATGTGTTGTTGTTAAGGTATTGGACTAAATGAAGAGAAATAAAGCCCTCTTATTTGAAAGTAGTGAACGTCTTTAATGGAAGGGCAGCCTTAAAACTCAACATACAGTGTCCAGAACAGCAGTTGGCTGCTGGAAACTCTGGCTTTTGAAGGACATGCATGTTCCTAGCTCTCATCAATAAAGGCTAATGTTTTAGAATAAAGACAAACTCATTCCTAACCCTCTGCTGCCTTTCTGCAAATGCCCTTCACCATAGCCGAGTATCCAAAAAATGGAATATAAAATGTATCTGCCATCGAAAGTTAATACGTATCTGAATTAAATACACACACCAAATTTAAATGTCTGGATAGGATGCTTATGTTGATAGATTAACTTTTTTCTTCAGACAATTATCCAAATGAAAATCTTGCAACTATGTTATTATTTTTTATTATTAATGATTTCCAGTGGGTGAGGGGAGACAAAAATGGTTCTGAACTAATTTTTAAAATTCTATTTGACAGTTAAATGGATCAGCATATATTTACCGTCAATTATTTTTTTTTTTAGCTTTCTAGCTATTTTTGTTTACTTGTTTATATGGATTACCTAATAGAAAAGTATAGAAATGACCACATGTGGATAGCAAATCATGGACTGAAACTACATTATTTTTTAGCCAAATACACCCAAATAGGCTAAATATGCAAAGGTTAGAAATACAGTTCCTACTTTAAAATTGGAGTATAAATAAAAAATGGAAAAACCTAGGAGCACCCTGATACAGTAGGGGGAAAATAGCGCAAAGGATGACTAGAAAATTGTGATGGTGTACAAAAGGGAAGAGAATAAGATTCAACTGATAGCCAGCTCTAGCCTTTCAAATGACTGTTGGCGCGTGTTCCACCTACCACTTCCTCAATGCATCCTTTTATTATTTTTTTAGGAAAGAACATTCATGACCAATAACAATGTTATAATGATAGTAAGTGTAGGACTTAAGATATGTTTTTTAAAAAGCACCTTTAACCAACATTAAAAAGTCACCAAGGGGGGGGGGGGAGGTAGTTACCTAACTCTACGTTTTATTTAGTGACGGTTCCACTTTTTCACTCACTGCCTGCAAATCAGCATTTTTAGTGGACAAAGGGCTCAGCAGCGGCCTTATGATTGCTTCTTTTCAAATGGTAATGGCTATCCTAACTCCTCTGCCAGGTTTTTCTTACCAGAGCACAAATTGCAGTTTACAAGGCTCTGAAGGGAAAAAAATCTTAGCTGAATATCTTTTTTTTTTTATTCGACAAACTGACATGTAAATTACCCTTTAAGTGCTCCACTCTAGGGCTCTGATCATCTCCTAATTGTCACAGTCAATTGTAGCCAACAGTCTCTTCAATCCCAAGCGCTTTGACAACAAGCACAAGGATCAAAGCAGAATCAGCTCCCTTCAATATCCTTCTGTTTAGGATGCTACAAAATGCCTGAAAAAGAAAGGTGTAAGGGCATTGCTGTAGAGGAAACTGAGAGTAGCAAGTATTAACAATAGTCATTTTCTCCATCTCTAAAATTATGCTGTAAAAGATGCCGTGATCCTTAATCACGTGTGTAGAACAAATATGTAAACCTCCCGGGCAATTAATATGCTGCTCTTAAGATTATACTAATATTCGAGCTTTACAAACAACACCGTCTCTGTGGCTTAGAAAAGCTATGACACAGATATGGGAGAGCAATCATTTCACAGCAGCTGGAGCACAAAAAACTATTATCAAACATATTCTATATTTGAGCATAAATTCCAAAGCATAGTTCTTATTACTCAGTTTGGTGTCAGGATTCACAGCTCCCGCAAACTAAATAAATAGCCCATTGAAAATTCTAGAGTTTCTTTTACTTAACCTAGAAATATCCAATTGAAAATGTGCCCCCAAATAAATAAAAAATGTGACATAAAAACTAACTTCAGAAGAATACTGTTTCCCTTAGTAGGGGTAAATCTGTCTTATTGCTTTACTGGGAACAAACTAATTAAAAGTCATTACATGATCTACAAACATGAGTTCTAAATAAGATGTACTTACCAGGATCATCACTTAACAAAATACGACAGTTCTTTCTAACTAGTTATCATACATCACTAACTTTCTTAAAAGATTATTAATGCTTTTCTCAAAAGATAAAAAAAACTCATCCTATCAACTATAACAATATAAATAATTTCATGGAAAGAGAAACTCTAATAATAAAATAATAAATCTGTATAAAATAACCACTTTAAAAATAACCTGAAGGTTGTCAGGAAAAAACGACAAATGGAAAGAAATCAAAGGTGCATGTGTAGAGGGAGTCCTCTACAGCTTGTCTCGTTGTACCCAGGCATTACACACATACAGCATGTAAGGTCACACAGTGATTGACAGTCTTCCTGTGCTCAAGAAAAGAAATGAAGAAAAGACTCAGCAAGTACCCCAGGTTTTCGCTCAGCCGCTTTACTCAAATCCCCCTGTAGGGGTTTCCCATCCTCCCCTCAATTTCACCTTGAATTCTCAGGTTTGATTGAAGAGCTTCACAGAAGGGTCTATTACAGATTGAGGAATGATCCATTTCACATCTGAAGCTCCAAAGAGCTACTTGTGAGGAGTCTTTGAGTGCATTTATCTCACATGTGAAGCTTTCTGCAAAATCAATATGGGTATTTTTCAGTTTGACAAGTCAACATGAAATATCACATAATAATAGAAAAACAGAGTTGTACATTTAAACACACCCAATACAGTTATCTATGAGAAAGCTTATAGTTATTACTCATGTATATCCTTGAGTATGCCTAATCTAAATTCATCCTGATAGCTGGGCTAAAGTGCACAGGAAGAGAAACTGACTGGTCACCATATTTCTGGCTCCTCTGTCTTAATTAATCCAGGTTTTGCAGTGAGGGAAGAGAATGAGCAGGAATCATGACCTTTGTGTCCAATCTGAGAGTGATATGAGAAGAGCGAAGAAAATAACCAGACGTAAAAAAGAGGAAGGAAGCAGAACAAAGGAGAACTTTGTAAAGGACTTCAAACTTAACTAATTGGCAATAACTAGGCAAAATGGTCACCCAAAGTACAGCAACCAAGTTTCAAATCCCCACCACCACTGTAGCAACACTAGCAGGATAACTGACATATTTGTGTTTGGGTCTGGCAATCTTTGGGTGAATCCCAGATCTTCTACCACCTGCATAAGCTTGAGGAACATGATTTAACTTCTCTAAATCTCTGGGGGTTTTTTAATCTCAAAATGGGATTAGTCAGAAGATTTACCTTATAAGGTTTTGTAAAGGTTAAACAAGATGATACATACAGCACCTGGCACATGGAAAACATTCAACTGTTGGTAAATACTGATGAAATTATTATTGTTTCCTTAAACCTATCCACAAGGCCCCTAGGGTTCTAACCTGGTGTCATTTCTACATATCCCTGGACACTTTCCATATTGGTTAATGTCCCCAAGTTGTAGATGACAGTCTGGTCAGAGTGCACTCACCATATTAACTCTGGTGTAGGTCCTAGCAGAGGAGTGCAGCCACCCATATTCTTTTGTCTTGAAAATGGTCTTCCTCCAACCAGAAAGGGTGTCCCTATCAACGAAGAGAGAGGGAATCAGATGGGGCTTCAAGAAAGGAAAAGAACCCAGGATTAGAGACCAAATCAGCTCATCAGTACAAGCAACGAATGAGGTAAGAGATGTAGCATATGGGATTTTTTCATATGCCAACGTTATAATTAATACTGGAGTTATCGCTATATACTCCACCACTGGAAAGATCTTAAAAAACTCTCAGAAGCATATTGCCACCCAGATTCAGTTAAATAGCTCACCCAAACTGCATATTCCTCTCATTCTATTTTCCTGTAGCCCATCACTACCTAAGTAGTACTAATACCATCTGTACTTGATTAGCTGTGCTTGGATCAACTAATTTGTAGATTGTTTGAAACACACTTTTAATTTTAGGTTAGCTCTCCCTACCACTCAGGATTAGCCAAGAGTAGCCAAAATATGTGAGTTGAGAGATGTAAGAATTCACGTTAACATCAAAATAAGAAAAACATCATTAAAACATTCAAAGTTTAAAAACTTACCCTATATTTCAAAGTCAAATAACTAAATATAAATGACTTTGTATTTAATTAATTCAAAGAACTTATATGCAATACTGTTCATTTTTTAGGTATCCTACTGTTCTCCTCCATTATTAAAATTAAGCTATCGCTTTTATTCCAAAACCAAATTAAAATATTTTATTAAGTGCTGATATAGAATTACAAGAACAAGTTGAGATAATTTCCTACTTTAAAGGATCGTTTCCTTAAAATTTTTAATTTATTTGTTTTGGACTCAAAATACATTTTTAGCAAGGGAACAAGTTTATAAATGATAATTAAATTCCCAGATTGACTCATAAAAACTTGTTTGATGTAAAACGTACCTGAAACACTCTAGAACCAAGTCTTAAGTGACTCTAGGTCATGAGGTCTATGAATTTAACCTTGTGGAGGCTAAAGGAGTATCATCAAACACAGTTTCCAAACTTTGGAACATTATCAGGCAAGAGATCTGATAGAAGATGGAACATCCATGAGTCTAAGTGATCACTATTCTCATGATCACCGTCACATCAACACCATCATCATCATTATTATCTTGCCATATTTCACCCATCATGTTAGCACATGGTAGCTATGAAGGTAGTGATGGTAGATAGCCAATGAGATGACTTGATCTCATCAGCTTGACTTTTTAAGTAAGTGGAGGAGATCTGTACCAGGGTGTCAGAACCTCACTCGTTCTTTCTTTCACTTAAACCTCTTCCATGATGTTCATTTCCCAGCCAGGACCCTGAGCATTATTTAAACACTTTCAATTAAGTAAATGAAGGCTCTGAGATAGCAGTACCCACTAAGAACACTCATGCTTGCCTCTTGTCCATACTTTCAAGTAAGCACACAGTACCCTACAGTTTGCAATTCACCTAAATGACCTAATCACAAAACATATACATACCCCACTTCAAAACTGAACTGATCGGGGTTGGGGAGGAGGAGATGGGGAGTAATTATTTAACGGGTCTAGAGTTTTGGTTTTGCGAGATGAAAAAGTTCTGGAACTCTGTTGCACAACAGTGTGAATGTGCTTAACACTACAGAACTGTACACTCAAAATGGTTAAGATGGCAAATTTTACCTTCTGTTTTGTAACCACAACTCAAAAGTTTTTAAATAAAAAAATAATGCAGAGAAATTACTTGTAAAAACTAGTGCATTAATTCAATAATCAATAAATAAATATGGAACATCTTTTACAAACTGAATTAAGGGTATCATGATTTTTAAGTGCCAGGCAGCCAGAATCCTAGTTTTCAGTTCTAATTTCTTTTCTATGAAAATACTGCCTGCAAAATTATCTATAAACTTTCAAATCCAAATGGACCAGCATGTGACTTGACATAGGAGAGATTGCACATAAAAATGAAGGTCAAAATTAAATAAGTCAATGAAACTTGGATTATAGAATTTCACTTCTCTTCTGAAAGATTCAAACAGTGATACACAAGAAAACCACCACTCCCAGGTGCTCTGTTCTGAGGCTGTAACTACCACACATTGTTACCACTTAGAATCTCAAAATTTCTCTGAATTTTCAGTGGACCAAGCAAAAGTTAAAGCTCATGGAAACAAAAATACTTGAACCCAAACCAGACTAGTTTTCAGTGGTTTCTCTGTTTTTGTAACAGTAGTACCACAGTCTCTTACCACTCACTTTCTTCTGGGTTAGTTTTTTTACCATTTTTAAAGTTATGTTACAAAATAAAGAGTTTTCAGGATTCAGGGTCATAATGCTTCCTTAAAACAAGCTGAGCTAATTTACATTTACCCCACACAAAGGTAGGAGATGAAAGCTTCAAAAGAAGTAGAAAAAACGGGATTATAGAGTAGTGGGGGAAGTTCATGGAAACTAGTGTCTTTACTTTATAATCCCAACTTATACACACAGAATGAAATCAACCAAAAGCAAAAGTAGATGGCGACCTTTTTAAAGTGAGATCCCAGAGACAAAAACTAATGGACATGGTACACTGATTCAAACATTTATTAGAATGTTTTTCTCTGCATATGCACTCTACTCCAACAAACCATTGGATCACCTAATGGTTTGTTTTTAACATTTATTCTTGTAGTGTGTATAGTTTATTAGATTAGGGGTAGCAAAACCTTGAAGTCCAGTGTGAATTTGAGGTTTGTAATAGTACTTATAGTTTTAATAATAATAGTTACCCATGAGTAACATATCTTGGCACTTATATTATCTCTTTAGAACAACCATATGAGGTATCAATATTCTTCTGAGATATGAGGAAACTGAGGCTTTGAGAGATTAAGTAACTTGGTCAAAACCACACACTAAAGAATTCTGTGCTCTTAACCACAAAGCTCCCCTGCACCTTGAATTGTTAAGAGTGTAGCTTCATCTCAGTGTAGATTATTCTTCTACATTATCTATTACAAACTCTTATTTCTCTTCTTGATAAATGAGTTCCCTCTTGCTTTGGAGATCTCCTATTGCCCATTAGTTCCTGAATAGAAACCATATCTTGGACACAGACACTTGTTTTGATTGCCTCCATGACTGAACCAAATGTGGTCATTGGCCAACAGGGTCATTGACCAGCAACAGTAGCTCCCTTTGTCCCACTGCTACCTCTCTGTGTATTCACCAAACGACTGGGTTACACACCATTTCACTACAGAGAGCAGCAACCATAATGGCATGTATTTTGAAATCCACTTGAATTCAGGACTATAATCACTAGCAATTCATGGTATACCAGAAGACCCTACTACACTCGCAAATATCATAATCAGCACCAGTGAAGAATATAAAGACCAGCACAATGGACCGTTTTGTTTCCCTGCTTCAGATCTGGATCCCTTTTCCCCAGACGTTTCTTTGCCCAGGTGAATATATCCATGCCATTTCTAGGGAGGACAGAATGGGGGCACACTCTCACAGGTTACTTAGGGCCAGCCTTAAATTCCAAGAATAATAGTAAAGCCAGAACCGTAAGGATTCTCTAAGCCATGCCATAAAATTACATATGATTAAAATGTGGTTCAAAGTAAAATTTATTTGCCCAAAGTCATAAGCTAATGAGTGAAAAAGCAGAGACGTTATATTCCGAGTCCAGTGCACTTTCCACTTATGAGATTGTTTTAAACAAAAGGCTTACCATGTGTCAAATAAGGTACTAGATACTTTACAAACAGTATTTCACATAATCTTCACAACCTTCAGACAAAATAAATATTATGACTCTTCTTACAAATGAAAAAGATTAAATAATTTAGCTAAATTCACATTTCTAGAAAGTAGCAGCTGTAGGGATCAGCTATTAACACCTTACTTTTAATATAATGGTCAAATTCCTTAAAAAAAAATTCCAGAAGGGATTATGACACTAGACAGTGATGGACTGATGTTGAGATCAGAGGAGGAAAAGGTATGAAATTAAGGCCTGGGGAATTTTTTTAAAAACTGAAAGGTGTTACATGAACTCACTGGTCTTTATTTTTATTTCTTTATACCCTGTTGTTTTTTTTTTCTTAAAAGAATTTAAGTTGGTTTATTAAAAAAGCAAACAAACAAAATACAAAGAGACAAAAATGCATTCAATACAATAAGATAAACTAAATTTAAAATAGGTGAATAAAATGAGTCTAAGGAAAAACACAGTGAAAATAAGAGAGACAAAATTCTTGCAAGGAAGTCTTACATACTTGCCGGGGGTAGGCTGTAAATTTGAACCTGAGCCTTCAGGCAGGCTACATAAAGAGGGAAACATGACCCATTACATGAATTGCAGTCTCCCTAAAACAAAGAAGAAGCCATTTGCTCAGGAGAGACGCAATTATTCCTGGTTATGAGACCATGGAGAAATTTGTCCCTGTGCCCCTCCTCGAGAAGGCTCGGTAGAGACCAAGGAACAGTAACCTCAGCAATGTGCTCCCAGCACTCAGTGCGAGGCACCGCATAGGGCTGTTTATTGCACCTTCCTTAGGGCAGCAGCATTGCACCCAGCAGAATTCAGCCAAGGCCGTTTTGCGGGGACAGCATGCTAGCTGTCTCCGGGAAAGGTCAGAAGGAAGGAGAGGTTGGTGCCGAAGCAGAGGCACGCTGAACCACGCAGATGCGGGTCAGAAGTGCCGCACAGACACAGTTCTAGGGCTAACGCCCTCTATGCCTTTGCTGTAAGGCCCAGCCCATCGCCACCTGGGAGGCATTTCGCCCCCTTCCACTTACCTCATCCAATCTGAATAGGATTCACGCTTCCTAACCTCTTCTGATGCAGAGGAACAGATCAAAACTTGGTGGCCTCTGCACCAGACCCAGGTCTCAAGATGCCCCGAGGGGAACGAGTGAAGCGGGCAGAGAGGACAAAGCCAGGCCAAGAGAGCCATTTTGACGGTGGTGTCCTCACAGGTTGTGCCATGTCACTGGTCAGATAGAGGCCCACTGTTCCTGAGCTTTGCAGAGGGCGTCAGTGCCATTGGCAAACCTCTGTTAGGAGCCTTTACTCCCATTCATTTATTCACTCATTCACTGAGTCAACAAATGCTTATTAGTCATTATTATGATCTTGTGCCCAGGAAACACAGGTGGACAAGACATTCGGGGCCCCTTCCTAATGGGGCTTGTGGGTCAGCTTCTACCTAAAGACGCTTTGAATTGGGCTAACCCAGGGAAGAGCATGGAGCTGGAGAATTAATCACTAAAACTCTACATCCTGCCTTTTTTCATCAAAGGCTGTGGGAGAATTCCTTTGGAAATCTGGAGAGAGCCCCTCCCTGGGGATTAACTAAAGACTGTGGCTTTGCAACTAGTTTCAACAGTCCATGCCTTCAGTTGCCTCATCTATCAAGAATGAAACTAATACTTGCAACAAATACTTCATAGCGTTCTGTGAAAGGAAAAAAGAGTAAGGTGCGAAAGCTGAAAACACTGTAGAAATATGACATCCAAAACGTGTGCACATTGATAAAATGAAACTTAAAGCTGTTATTACATAAGTACACCTGAGTGTCTGTCACAGCTAGAAGCATGTGTTAAGAATACAAGATACTGAAATAAAAAATGAGTAATTTATTCTATCTAAATACTAGACAACTATATTAATTAACAAAATTTAATGGCCTGCACTGAAGGACTCACTGAATTACAAATATAGCCCTTCTAGGATGTTAAAAACATAATTAAGAGCAGTCTGGAATGGAAGCACCCGGGCACTCTTATCTGTTGATGTGCAAACAGTGTGGTTATGTAAGGAATAAAACATACTTTAAAATAGTCATTTCACATTATCAGGCAAAGCTCAGAGCATGCTAAGAAATAACTCTACTTCAGAGAGAGCTGTACATTCACTGACAACTCCTCTAACTGAAACTGCAGTTGTCATCTCCCTTCCCCAACACACAAGCTATGCCAAAGGAGTACGGTCAACTAGAAAACAATGAGCATTTGTCCTGGCTGTACAGATTAAACCAATTTTAAGCATTTTAACATAAAAGCACACATCACAAGATGCACTGCACAGCATTATTTACACGAGGTCAAATTCTCACCTTCTCCTCATCCAGGTTGGCTATCAAGTAGAATATACTTAAGGATTAGATCCATCGCATCTGTCTGCATGCCATAAAATATTGCATTGAAAGCAAGGGGCTCATTGGATACTTTACTTTATAAGGAAATACTGCTAGGCATCTATGTAATGTTCTCTTAGCACCCTTTAAAATATACCTAACCTCATACTTTTTCCCATTCAGTCTCCCAGATTTGAGGCTGCTTAAATGATCTGCAGACCCCACGTACCATTACTTCTAGAGAGCAATTATATCAAATAGATTAAAATATACTCACGTTCCACATTAAGTAAAATCATTTTGCTGTAAAAATTTTGAAGCAATGTTTATCATTTTATTTCAAGGAATCTTTATAATTTTGTTTCTCAAGTGATACGCCAAATTTATAATCAACTATTTTCAACCCATCATCAAGCACATAGAAGAAGGCTTGCAGAGTGGAAATGTTTAACCTAAAAACTGTTTTCAAATGTAATGATATTTTGACGATACTCTTTTCGAAGCTGACATAACGCTGCATTTTGCTTGTATTTATTAGTCTGGATTTTGTATTTCTTATAATTTGCAACCAATATAATTGTGATCAAGCCTTAAATATTTTCCTAGGCCCATGAAACTTGTAAGCTCTGGAGTGCCTTCAGTTCCTAATGAATGAGATGGCCCCACCCGTATCAGCCCCAGATACCATCTGCACCAGAAACCTAGCACAGAAGTCCCTGGAGCCTGAGCCACCAAACCCCAACCCAAGGGTTGGGCACTGTGCAATGCTGACTGGCCTTCTCTGGTTGGAATCTGGCACTGGCCGGTCCTCTGACAAGCAGTCCACATGTGGTGGAAGGGGTACCTTCTCTGAGCACTCAGAACTCCTCAGTGTCTGGTGGCTACACTTGGCTCCTTGCTTGAAGCTTTTTTTTTACATCTTTCAAATAAAATCCTCTCTTGAGGTTCAGCTGAACGTTAGAAAGAATAATATATAACTGACCACATTCCCTCTCACCCACAAAAAAAATAAAAACACTCAGTGGAAAAACCCTTCAGAAATAGCAAAATGCGTACCTCTTAACGTCTCCAGAATATTCCATCTTCAGAGGCTTCTTGAAGGCAACCACTGCAGCTAATAGCCCTGGCTCTCCACAAGTAGTGAATCGTGCTGGAGCCAGAAGTCTCCCAGCCCACTACTGCCAATATGACAGCTCCATATCCTTTATACTGTACTGCTTTAAAGGAAAAATGTCTGAGGAAAAAATGGAAACTGTGTAGGTAAATATGGCATATTGTTATCATTTTAAAATTCCAGGGAGATTCTTCAATATTTACAATTTTGATTTCCTTGCAGATGTTCTAAAACAATGGCACTGTTAAACCTTAAAATTAATACCTTATTATGTTTTTTATAAGCATCTCCCTAATTCCTTCTTTCTCTTTATTCATTTGATATTAGTTGAGCACCTTCTCTGTGCCAGGCACCGTGCTGAGCCCTGGTGAATATAGCAGAAGGAGTCCCTGGGAATAAAGAAGGTAGCCATTGCAACCCATTGTGGTGTGTTATGTAAGTGCTTCTGCATGGCTAATTGAAACCTGTCTTACTAAAATTCAATCCCATTTCTCCTTGTTCTGCCCACGGAGTAGGTAAACAACAGCCAACAACAGCCAACATCCTCTCTAACGTCACCTTCCTGATACTTAAAACGCTCAAGTTTCTTTTTTCCTGTTCAAAATAAACATATTTTTTCCACAAAGAAAAGAAGACTACAGTTGATGTGTGCAGCAAGCCAATAAAACTCCTTTGCTGTGTCATCACATTGTCATTGATATGAAAATATAGAATATGAGTTTTCAGTCACATTGACGGGATAAAGGAAAATAAAGTCCCATGTGATCAACCAGTTTCTAAGGCATTAATCTATACACTGTTCCTGATAATGCCATTCTAAGAAAATGCATTATAGTGGAACAAAAATTTTGCATCATTGCACTAGCTGAGAAAAAAATAACTAATAGGTCTCTATCCCTTATGACTCATATCAGAGAACCCTGCCCCCAAAGAAATAAAGACACATTGTCACTGAACCACATTATTGTCCCTTAAGAAGACTATAAAATGAGTACCTCATTCATTCGTTGACATTGAACTTGTGCCAAAACTATTAAGAGCATGTATTAATAGATATCCCTAACGTGTAGGAAAGAATACAGAATAAAACACAAAATGAAATTAGTATTCACTTTTAATTTGTCTTTTATAAATGATTAAGTAAAGCATATGAAGGAAATAAAAGGGCAATAAATAGCCTTTTATCACAAACTAGGGGATTTCTCTTCCTCCGGGCTTGATCACAACCAGTTTAGAAATACGCATAATCGCCTATGGTCAATATCATATCACTGCCAGATCACACATTCAACAGATAACCACTATTATTATAAAAGCGACTTCCTTGACCTCCTATTTTGGTCTGGCTAGGAATTCCTGTACTTTCCCAGATCAGTTGTCACACAGTACAAATCTTGTGCTGTGCGTGTCAATTTGTACCAGTACAAGTGACCGGTGCCTTACAGAGCTTACGCTAAAACACACTTCTATGCATATGCATAGCACGAGTTCAAGAAATATGATCATGCTTGTTCTTGCAGTGCTTCTTCAAATCTGAAGTCTATGTGTGTTTTGCTATTATAGCTAAGGTACAGTGTGTGTTATTTGGCAGCTGAATTTGACATGAAAATATAAAAGGTTTGGGCAACCACATATTTGGAAATAGAAATCTTTCCTGAAAACATGGCTTTGGTTTTTAAACACAGCTAAATTTCTGGAAACTTCAATTTGTTAAAGACAGCCAAGACTTCAATCATATTTAACATATTCCTGGGGTTTACATATAGTGTTTCAAAGTAATAAACAACATCTTGTTTGGAGTAGCACGAAGAAAATGAGGCAAGCACTTCTTTAGAGTAAAAGCTCTACTTTTAAAAATAGTTTGGAGACTCATTCTTATGTTGGTGAAATCACAAAACACTATTCAGCAAACAAAACATGATGAGCTCAATTCAAGTTGGTAAACATTTTTAGCTGGCTTCATTTGTAGTGAGAATTTTAATGTAACGATAACTTCAAGAATGCATCCCTTATAATGGAAACTTGAGGGCCAAAACTTTTTTTTTAATTGTTAATAAGAACAATGGTGTCAACTTTGCACTGGAAAATCTGAAGAGATGTGATGACAACAGTAAATTGATTGTTTGAACAATTTTAAAAATCACATTACCATGCACTAAAATGCATCTGCATTTACTCATGAGCACTCTCACTGCAGTGACCAAAAAGCCCCCAGGCCTGATTCAGTAGCAGAAAATAGACTCCTTCCATAAGGTAGGATATATATACCTTACTTCCAGCACATAAAACTTGCAATAAAGCTGTACATACTTCACATGCTTTTTCCTCATTGGTCTAAGGATAATAGTGATGTCTAAAAACCCTTAAGTCACTTAGTAAGAATAACAAGCACTTTTCAACAAGCAAGACATGACCAGCCAAAATAATACCATCCAAAGAAAGGAAGGCATAAGGAGCTTTCTCTATACTCTTTATAAGTCAGATCAAATTTCACTTAACCATGCTTTTTCCCTACACAGTGAACGGAACATTTGTTATAAGGATAACTACAGATTCACATCCAGATAATCTATGGCAAACCAACTGATAAACATACAAACATCTTGCCCTGTGGCCAATATTCCTTTATTTTGCCTGCATGTTATTCCTAATTTTTTAGATAATAAATATTTTATTTCTTGTGGTTGATAGGTAAACCATGGGAATTCATTTAAAAGTTTACAAGTCGGTGACATGTTATGCCCCTTTCTCACCACCCGTACTCAAGACCACTATTGGAGTGGACCTCAAGAGTACAAAGACCTTAGATCTGAGTTCGCCTGGGGCAGTGCTGATTTGCAGCTCTTTACCTGGAGTAATTATTAGTAACACAACCTTTCAGTCTCAGAAGTATCCCAGTTTGGATGATAAACTATATGGCCACCCTTCTTATAAGATAATGGATGCCATCTACTTGATAGGACTTCTGGGTACCAAGCATGTTTGCCTCGAGTATTTCCCCTAAACCAGACAGCACATAGTCGGAATTCTGCCAGCTACACTACAAATTCCTTGAGTCCTGAGATTGGGTTTTTATTTAACTGTGTGCAGCTAGTATGGTGTCAGTGCTAGTACAGTACAAATGCTAAATAAATGTTTTTTTGGATGAATGAAGAGTCATTCCTTTAGACAAAACATTGCCTGCTTTGGATATTCTCTTTTAAAATTCCTAGAAGGAGAAGCACATGTATAAAATTGATAATGACCTTCAAAATCTGACCCCTTATCACCACCTCTACTGCTACTACTCTGGTCCAAGCTACTATCATCTCTTGTGTAGATTAATGCAACATCCTCCTCTCTGGTCTCTCTGTTTCTATTATTGCTTCCCTGGGGTATATTCTCAACACAGCAGCAAGTGACCTTGTTAAAGCTAAATCAGATGGTGTTACTCCCCATCTGACCCTGAGTAAAAGCTAGTCATTACAATAACCTACGAGGAGCATTGTCAGATCTAGCAAATAAAAATATAAGGGCCCAGTTTAATGAATAATGTTTCGTACAAGCATGTTTCATACAATATTTGGGACATACTTGTACTTTTAAAAAGTATGTGTTGTTTAACTGAAATTAAATTAAATTAAAATTTAATGGAGCATCTATATTTTATCTGGCAAATCTTCCAAGGATTTACCTGACTGGGCATATGTGTGCGCGTGCACACACACACACACACCCCTACCTCAGCCCTCCTCTCCTGTTATCCTTCCTTTCCCTGGACGCCAGCCCAATGGCACTGACACTGATGCCAGGCATACTTCTGCCTTGGGGCTTTGTGCTGGTTGTTTCCTGTCTAGAAATTTCTTTCCTTGGATACTGCTACCACTCACTACCTCACTTTCTTCAAAACTGTCTGCACCTTCTTAGGGAAGCTTTTCCTAGCCACCTTATCTAAAACCCAATCCCTTCCCAATTCCTATCTTCCTTCTGCACTTTGGTTTTTCCATTACTCTTATCATTTCCTAACATATTCTATATTTTACTCATTTATTTTGTACGTAAGCTCCTTGAGAGGAGGAATTTTTGTCTATTGTTCCCTCTGTTGTATCTCTAATTCCTAGAGTGGGCTCTGGCACAGATGAGGCCACATAAAAATTATCAGATTAATGAATGGTCATCCATAGCAGTAGCAGTCATATTATTATTGCTATCAATTTAAATTCTATATTGTCTGCAAAAGATTTGAATAGACATTTCGCCACAGGAGAAATACAAATGGCCAAAAAGCACGTAAAAACATACTCAACATAACTAAATATTAGGAGACTACAAAGTGAAACACAATGAGATTCCACTTCAACCCCTTTAGGCTAGATACTGTCAAAAAAAGAGAAAATAACAAGCGTTGAAGAGGTTGTGGAGAGATTGGAACACTTGTGCACCACTAGCGGGAATGTAAAATGGTGCAGTCACTATGGAAAACAGCATGTCAGTTCCTCAAAACATTAAAAATAGAATTTCCATGTGATCCAGCAATTTCACTTCTGGGTGTGTATGCCCAAAAGAATTGAAAGCAGGGTCTTGAAGAGATATTTATACACCCAAGTTCATAGCAGCATTAGTCATAATAGCCAAATGGTGGAGGCAACCCAAGTGTTCAGGGATGAATGAATGATGAACAAAATGTGGTCTATATGTACTTACAATGGAATATTAGTCAGCCTTAAAAACGAAGGAGATTCTGACACATACTATGACATGGATGAACCTTGAAGACATTATTCCAAGTGCAGTAGGCCAGTCACAAAAAGACAAACACTGTAAGATCCCACTTATATGAGGTGCCTTGACTAGTCAAATTCACAAAGACAGAAAGTAGAATGGTAGTTCCCAGGGCCAGGGGTAGGGGAGAATGAGAAGTTGTAGTTTAATGGGTATCTAGTTTCAGTTTTGCAAGAAGAAAAGAGTTCAGTAGATTGGTTGCACAACAATGTGAATGTATTTAACACTCCTGAACTGTGTACTTAAAAACGGTTAAGGGCTTCCCTGGTGGCGCTGGGGTTGAGAGTCCACCTGCCGATGCAGGGGACACGGGTTCGTGCCCCGGTCCGGGAGGATCCCACATGCCGCGGAGCGGCTGG